CCCCCTCTACAGGGTGGGCCAGAAAGCCTGGCTCTCCACCAAGGATCTACCCCTACACGTTCACTCCAAGAAGTTGGCACCGAGGTTTGTGGGTCCTTTCCCAATTTCAAGTCATTAACCCTGTCTCTGTGCGCCTCAAACTCCCCAGATCTTTGAGGGTCCATCCCACGTTTCACGTGAGCAAACTCAAGCCAGTTCGAGAGAGCACTTGTCGAGTGGCCTGTGTTCGTCGTCCATAACATACGCCTGCCCATACCATAACCCCACCACCACCATGGGCCACTCGATTCACAACATTACCCTAACCCTAACCCTAACCCTAACCTAACCCTCACACCAGATACTGACTGGTTTTCGGACCCCCCCAGACCCCCCCAATAAAGCAAAAATGCACGTTTCAGAGTGGCCTTTTATTGTGGCCAGCCTAAGGCACACCTGTGCAATAATCATGCTGTCTAATCAGCATCTTGATATCATGATAGGGCCCCTTTAAAAGCAAATATATTTTCAAAGTGAAGACATCAATTGTCTTAGAAATAAAACCGATTATCAAAAAGACATGCAGACAGTTGTATAAAAGTTTTCCCTTCTTTTCATATTGAAATATTTAATTTCAAGACTTTTATATGCACAAAGAAAGTTGATTTATCTCATGGTCTTCAGGTTCAGCTTCAGGTTCTTTATTTGTACCCGTAGGTATATTTTGTTTGCAGAGAAAAAGACAAGGGATCCATCCTAACACACTCTAAATACAAACACAAACAACATACACATCTCTAATAAAAGGACTAATAAAAAGTACAAGTACACCCTGCTCCGTCAAATCTCAAAATATTTCCATTTGATCACACATTTGATAGTGATCACTTCTTCTTTGCCAATATAACCCTTATGGCAGATGAATAGATCTTGATTTAACATTGAGATTATTACACAGACGTGCCCGGGCAGCAGCAGCATGTTATCATTGTGTGATTGTTAGCATGTTTTACAGCTGCAGAGTGCTCACCTACTGAACTTTGCTTCTTTTGTTGTCTGTAACAATTTATATATTGGGAAGCATATTTATACGAGGGAGTATCCCCTTTACACAGAAACGCATCATATCTAACAATCCATCCATTAACTCAGCATAAGGAGCTGTTGCCATGGTAACGGCTAGGGGGGGAATCCTAAATAAACAATGAAGAATAAACCAGAGTAAAACTTGGTGTGAGACTGAACGTTGAGCGGCCCGACCAAGCAATGAGGCAGAGGCAGAACGTCCAAAAATATAACCCGACGTGGGCATTTATTAAAATAATGTGCACAAAGTTCACAGCCTCAATCCTGCTGTTCTCCGTGAACACATCCAGCAGCCACAAAGATCTCACACACACTAACAGGTTCTCAAGACACAGCACCTAAATACACACACAGACTAACAAGACACAGGTGGTGGGGGGAGCAATTCGACACAGGTGAGGGGGGAGGAGCAAACACAGGGCACCAGGTGAACACAATTGGGTAATCAGTATGAGGGAACACAGAGACGACCGGAAGCAACAGAGAAGATGGGGGTGAACACTTATACCATTAAATAAATACTACATCAATAAATTATATAAACATGTTCACGAGAGCTCTAGTAACGGCGTCTCGTCGTTACACTTGGAATCCTGAGTTATATGTTACAACATGTTTTCGTAAGATGTGTATTCAAACACTTATCTGCAGTTTACTGTCTGTAGCCATGGTAACAGTTCTTTTTATAAAAATAAAATAAATGTATTCCTGTATCCTCCATCAGACTTTCACTATGAAAACGATCAACTTTCACTTTTTCTCAGCGGTAGTTTTCCTGAGAGCGCAGGCCGCCTCAAGGAAACACTTGCTGCTTTGAGAAGTGTGTCAAAAGAGAAACAGGAAGAGAAACAGGAAGAGTAAAAAAAAGATGGACTTCATAATGATTTCTAAATGTGAAATGAAATCCATTTTTCTTCAGTTGAAAATAAAAAACAAAACAAAGTTTTGCAAGTATATTTAATAATTCATAATAGCAATAAAGCAAGGTTTCATAACTGAAAAATGTTCACCTAATCAAATCCATTGAACCTGAACTGTGGTTAGCAAACAAACCCTCTTTGATACAGTATGTCGGCAACTACTTTCATTCATCAGGAGTTGGCCGGGTTTAATATAGTAGCATTTAGCTGCTAAAAGATGGGCCAATTGGATTTTCCATTGGATTTTGGAATATTGCAGAAAATAAGATCTGTAGCTAACACACTATGATACCTGTATGTTCTGTCCAGCACGATAAACTTCACAGGTGGGGTATGTAATTTATTTCAGAAATACTTTTTGTTATATTCCATGGAATGCTCTTCCCGATAGCAATGAATATCTTAAGTGCTTTGACAATAAACACGTGAAAAAATTCATCTGTGGAAGCCGTACTGTAAAAAGCACGACCAATCATTTTAGCCGGCCCGGCTAAAATAACTGGATGGCCTACCTGCCTGTCAGCCTTCCATCTGTGCACAAACTTATCTCGTGCCCTTATTGGTTATGTGCGCGTTTGTTTGTGTTGGAGAAGGGGCTCTGTAAGGAAGTCTGAGGGA